TCTAGATTTTATAGCACTAGCTAAAGAAGAAATTGGGTGCTGCTGATTGAGATTTAAAAAGAAAAAAGAAATCAAATTTGGGTTTATGATGTAGAGATGTGGAAGTATGTATGTGGGATCCGCAATGAGGTTTGGACTATTGAGAGCCTGAGAGGAGGATGTTCAATGAAAGCGGAAAGGTTAAAGCTAAAAATGATTATACTAAAGATCATTGAAACAAAGCCTGATGATCCTCTAGGCTTTATCTGAGAAACTACTAGCTAGTTGCTATCAGAATGACTAGTATGACGCTTGCTTGTCAAATATTTTCTGACAGATTTTCTTTCATAAGAGGCAAGAAAGTATTTGGGTAACAATAGGCATACATAATTGCTGTAGGATTTCATATGGATTTCTTGTGCATCTCCAAGTCACCTTACAATTTGTGGGCTCTTAGTTGGTTAGAGAACAAACTACTTATAGTTCTATGGTTGGAATTATAAGATTTGTGAATTGTGAGTACAGGGAGGACTTCTAATTATTGTTAGTGCAATGTGGAAGAAAGGCAAAAAGTAACTCGAGTACGACAATGTTATTAAAGAAATTGAATTTAGTTCACCAAAATTACACGAGGTATATGTCGGGTGGGTGGGAAATGGAGCTGAGATTCTTAAGGAAACTAATGAGGTGGATGCATCATGATATGATCGAATGATCATAGGGACTCCAAAATGTTGTTGGAGAGGATTGGTGTGTTCCTGTATCAGAATGGTGGAGTTGGCTAAAATGATACACAATCAGATTAAACCTATGTGGAATCATGTATGTTTATCAAGTCTGATATGTGTGTGATATCTAGTTTTAGCAAGTTTTTTTTAAAACTCTGTTCCAACTCATTTAACACTGGTACAATGAGGCTAATGAAAGATCTGGTTGATTAGGATAATCTGAAGAAACTTCCGAAGATGAATGTCCAGCTCTTCCAATTGAATCATATAGTTTGTTTTATGGATAAGTATTGATCAGATTGTTTATTGGATATCCTGCTTAGCAACAATGTCAGGTGGATAACATCCCTTTAGCTCTCTTCGATGTCAACAGTCTCTTACTGCAAAGAACTCATGGATGTTATAGCACACGTGAGATAGGAAAATCAACACATACATTTTTATCAACCGAAGCACACATGAAGAACCAAATACTTGCGGCCGACACCAAAAAGTCCAGTAGCCCTATTTTATTTCTCCTTTGTGTGGAAGAAGGAAAAGTAGCAATTTTAAAACTTAAATTAGTCTATAAATGTATTCCATCTCTTATTATCATGAAGTTACTAATTTTGTAAGCTGTCATTGATGTCATGCAACTCCTGGGAGGTTGTATAGGAGCTCTTTTTTCTTTTCTGTGAAGGTGTTGGGTGGGTGTTAGTGGTGCTCTGAGAAGTAGAGATGAAAAGGTTTGAGGTTGGTACTATTTAATCTAACGACATGTATTAAGGATTTACCTTACTTGTTCGTTACAGGGGTGAAGAGAGCAGAAGCATCTTTTTGGACTGAATGAGGATGAGAAGTCTATGGAAAAAAGTGAAATCTCAGCTCTCCATATGAAGCTGCTATGCTAGTTGGAGGGCGATTGAAGGAACAAAGCGTTTTTCTGGCTCTATTAGTTAAGTTATATAGAGAAAATAAGGAAGTTGGGATTGGGGAGCAGTGTTAAGAAATGAAGGGATTAAGGTCCATGATGCTCTATAAAACTTTTCCTTTTCTGTAAGGATGCTAAATTTGGGAAGTAAATGTTCTCCTTCTCCAATCTGCAACCTGAGCCAAGTCAATTTGGTTTGATGCAGGTTTCATGAAGAATCCGTTCATTCCTGAAGCATTTTAATGTATATCATTCTTTTGTCAGATATTGCATAGAATTGCAAAATTCACAGTTTTAAGTAAATTTTTTGGAGACTTAGTTCCTTAGTTTCTATATTCTCATGTGTATGACTACTATCCGTTGAGACTATGAGGTGCAGTGTCAGATATTTGTTGAATCCTTTGCCTGATACCCTAAGATTTATATTGCTTTATTCTTGAAATTCTCATGTAATTGGTACGTCGGCTGTTCATTTTGTTTCAGACAAAATAAAGCCTTCTGATGTAGGTCTTGAGCAGGAGGCACAACTTGTCAGGAGTTGGAAAGGTACCATGCGCGAGCATAATGGGGGTATACGATCGATCTTGCCAATCAAATACCTGCACATACATGAATGTGAGAGCTTCACTGTAAGTGTTGCCGTACTGTTAGATTTTTTTTATTTATACCATTAGATTGATGATGTTGTGCTATAAGGAGTGATATGGAAACTGCATAAGTGAGATCCGCTAACCTGTTGAATGTTCTTACAGATGGGAATATTCTGCATGCCACCTTCTTCAATCATTCCTCTACATAACCACCCGGGGATGACCGTTTTAAGTAAGCTTATATATGGTTCCTTACATGTGAAAGCCTATGATTGGATCGACAGTCCGGGGCCTTCAGTTCCACCCGAAGGTATGTACTTATTTGAAGTGGATGTTTTGCACGAAAGATTTTTTGGACTTTCTTAGTGGAGATAATATGCTCTTTTTTGAAATATCATTTCATTGCAGTACGTGGAGTTGTCTTATGTGATGTTCTGATGTTCAGTTAATTTGAAGTTACATCAGTGCTTGATTTATTCTCTGGAATTTGATTAGTTGGCAGGCATTCTTTTCTCTATTTCGCTTGGACTTGGTGTTCTTTGACTGACCTTTCTTTTCTTACTACTCCAATTGGCAATAGATTGTGTTTCAGTGTGATTAAGATACTTAAAAAACATTTTGTTTTTGCTGGTTTCGTTTTGGCCTGGTGATGCTCTATATCATGAATTCAATAACAAAAGGTCCTTGTAAAAAGACTAGTATAGTAATGGTTCTTTAATAAGAGTTATTGGTCCTTTTTATAGTAAATCGTATTCGAGGTTTAATTCACATCCTATGCGGAATTTGCATTTCATTGCACAAATGATCACTGTTAAGTTCAGTAGACTAGCAAGGCCAAGGGTTTACTTCGCATATCTTGCAGAATTTTGTATCTCAATACTTCTGCACAAAGGTGAACTGTATGGTTGCACTGTTCTTGGACAAATGGTGACTTTTAATATCTGTCTCACAGAAAGGAAAAACGAAGACTTTGAATTTCCTTAAGACTCAGTACTCAAGTCTAGAGTCTTGGAACTATAATGTATTACTGGAGAGAGCTGGCCATTGTGTCATTTGGCTGGAAGGAGTTGCTTCTCTGGAACTGTTTTGATTGGGGTCAATTGTCATGCAAAACCTTGATCTTAGGTTGTGCTGGCATTTACTATGTTCGGTACCTGTTTTAAATGGTTTTCAGGTACAAGACCAGCTAAGCTTTTTAAAGATTGTGAGATGACTGCTCCATGCGGGACAACTACTCTGTATCCAACGAATGGAGGCAATATTCATTGTTTCAAAGCTACAACCCCTTGTGCTATTTTTGATATCCTTTCTCCACCTTACTCTTCCGATGATGGACGTCATTGCACTTATTTCCGAAGGTCTCCTCGAGGGGATCTACCTGGTAATAACTCTGGTGCCAACTTTTATATGAATATGAACATGCAACTGTATTACAAATCTCACTTTAAATGCTTTGCATCGTTAAGGTGAGCTCAAGGTGGATGGGAAGATATTCTCAGAGGTGACTTGGTTGGAAGAGTTTCAACCTCCTGATGACTTTGTTATTCGTCGAGGGCAATACAAGGGTCGTGTTATCAAACCTTAGGATGGTTCAATTTTTGGTTTTATCAAATCATTTTTTTTAATGCAGTGAGTAGTTAATTTGGGATGAGGTGAATTTATAGTATGTCTCAACAATGTGAAAATAATGACTGGTGTTTTCTGTAGAATAGGACATTTCTTGTGTACATATCAATATACCGTACATTAATTTACTGATCTCACCTTAAATTATTGCTTTTAAACTGATAATCAGACAGTTGGGAAACCTCACTTTTCAGCACAACAAAGTTTGCTAGTTTGAATTCTGGTGAAAGAGTTTGTTGTGTTGTCCTTGTTTTAGTGATGCCGAGCAAACACTCTGAATTCTGAAATTTAGTGTTGTCCTTGCGTTATTAATTTTTGCATTACTCGTCTCTATATCAAATGAACACATTTTAAATGCTAAAATACATTAAAACCAATAGAGCAGATTTGACCTATGCTTTCTCTTCCTTTTCTTCTTGCATAAAGAAATCCCCTGAAGTCAGAGGCCGACCTAAGCTAGAGGAGGGGTCACCGGTATCCGTAAAGTTCGGCGAAAATTGTATGTATACATGTATATGTCATTAAAAAATAGCAATATATTAGAAGTGAACATCATATATACAAAGTAGATTTTGATCAAGTTAAAAAGTACACTCGCGACCTTCAAATCCTTAGTCTGCCTCTGCTTGAAGTTAGGAGTAACTGATTATAAGAGTCAAAGGCTAATGGTACTTGACAAGGGAAGACAGAAACCATTTGCTTACATCTCATTTCAAGAATCACAAGATTACAACTAGCTCTTCAGGGTTAAAGCAAACAAATATATTACAACATCCAAACTCCAAAATAAATGTGAAGATCAGTACATATTTTTTTCGTAACCGAGATATACTCTAGAGCCAGTTGGCACATGGTTCGAAACTCAGTTGATAATAGCCTGCCTATCTACCCCTTCCCACTTAAATGACAGGTTTTTGTCCAATATCAATACATTTACCTCTCATTCGGAGACAAGTGAATTTCCTTCAGTTATCAATTGTGAGGTTACGCACTACTCTCCCCAGACCCCACTTATGAGATTGCAATGGTTTTGTTGTTGTTGCATGCAATTGTGAGGTAGACTACTTCGTCGTCGCTCCATCACATAAACAAGAAACTTCTATTATAGGTTATGATTTCTATACAAAATCTCTCAACCCATGCAAGGGATTAAGTTGAACTTGAATCTCAAGATTACCTGTACAACAGAACTTTTATTTCATCATGTAATTACAGGATATGAGTTGGCAGTTACAAGCCCTTTATACCTTAAGAAATGAAGTGTAAAATCTATAGAGCAAACTATACATTATTGTTCACCTTCACACCCATTGTACTATTTGATTTGCACAAGAAAGCATGGGAAACAATCAGAGGACCACAGAAAAGCATTAACATCTTCTACTGAGCTTCTTGTATATGTATCAAGGCTCTGAGTTCCTGATAGACTGGTGAAATTCCAAGCAGAGAAATTAAGAAATAGAGATTGCGCTTAGGTAATATATCAGACAAAGAAAAGAATACATAAACTTATACATTGGAAGAAATAGAAGAGGAGCCTTGGCGTAACTGATAAAATTGCTGCCATGTGACGAGGAGGTCATGGGTTTGAGCCGTAGAAACAGACTCTTGCAGAAATGCATGATAAGGCTGCATAGATAGACTCTTGTAATCGGGCCCTTCCCCGAACCCTGCGCACAGCGGGAGCTTAGTGCACTAGGCTGCCCTTTATACGCCGGAAGACATAGAGAATTTACCTCAGAATTTCACAAGGGCTGTTGCTTCTTTGTCATTTTAACAATTGTTTCCCACTTGGGATCACTAGATAGTGGCTTAGAAGACTGGTTATTAGTATTTATTCCTGTCCTGTGATAGGACCGTGAAGGTGCATTCTTCGTGGATAATGAAGGCAAAGTGCGGCAAAGCCATGAATCTGATGGAGATTTTGGTAAAGGTGGTGGAACAAGAAACTCCGGGTGCACTTTGCATGAATTTTCCACCTTCTCTCTTCTTAAAATCGGCTTTCTGGTTTTTTCTGTAACGTCAATCTCAGGCTTTGTTAAGGTCATTGCATCTTGGCAACAGTCTTGAGCTTGACCGGTAGCTGTCAATGCTTTCGTCCCCCTTCCATTGCTCAAATTTTCCGCTGAATGTGGTGGATTGAAGTCAACTCTCCTTTGAAGATATGACTTTAATGAAGACTTCTCAGACGAATCAAGTGAAGAATCTACAAATGGTTTTTGTTTTATTATCCTTTCAAGTATCTCAACGTCCTTGTGTTGTAAGTTGGATGGTTTTCTATCCGGAGAACATGATATCTTAGCTACAGATTCCATTTTATGCACAATATCTATGTACAGAGTTTTCTCTACATCAGGAGTTGACAGATCTACTTCCCTGCTATTGTTCTGATCAGACAATAATTCTTGAAAACTTTGGCAGGTATTTTTCTGCAAGCCCAAGAACTCGACCTCGCGATTATTTGCTTCTGTAGTACTTCCAAGGATTGCTTTATTCTCATCAGTATCATTAGCATAAGTTGAATTGACCTCATTCTCTGTTCCGCTACAAGAAGCAGTAGACGAGGATCCAGTTTGGGTTCTACAGACAGGAGACACAGGTACTCGAGTTCTAACACTCATTCCAGGTACAGGATTGAGAAGACGAAACGAACTTTTCAAGCAAAAATGAGGCAACAATCCACAAACTTTATTAGCTAAATTTCCATTATCATAACAGTCATCATCACTTTCTTCTTCTTCATTATCATGAGCTTGGGAATGATAAAGTGTAAAACTAGGTCCGTAGCGCAATTGAGGTCGTCTATCCCCATTTAATACCTTCTTTATCTGTCTTGATTGATCCCGAACAGGTGGTTGCTTCTTACGAACGTAGTAAGGTGTTTCTGAAGTCTTGTCTGAAGCCATGGCCTTAGCTGCTGGCAGAAACCGACCCATCATCAAATCCTTAGCCCGTGAATGTGATAAAGAAGTTCCAGATGGTTTTGCATTTGGCTCATCATATCCACTTAAGCCACTTATGCTACAGTTTAAGAAAGATGATTCAGTTCTCGAAAGTGTATCTCGGGCATCCAAGTATGTTTCATCACCATCCTCTGATTCAATATTTTCCTTATCCCCCGTCATTTCTTTTGATCTGTCAAAACTCTCGATTTTCTTCACATTTTCATCCAGAGAAGTGCAATCCGGCATAGAATTTTCAATTTTTGCTGTTTGATTCGTTGTACTTTCAAGAGCTTTATCGAAATCCTGGTTATCTCTTAACTTCCACCCGGGGGGAAGCTTTGGGGTAGTAGGAGGATTTTTGGTGAGACGAGTTTGTGGTCCGCGCTCATCCTTAGGTCTTCCGGGGCTATCTTCCCAGAGGAAAGGTACAGTTCCCGGATTCCCCACTAGGCCCGACTTCAGTTCTGATTTGTAATGAGGAAGATGTGTCATAGCGCGAAAAGAAATGTCAGTTGTCTTTTTCTCATATCTTTGGGAAATCATAGCCGGAGATATTCGTCTAACTGAGAGAAGAGGTTGATTAAACTTCAATTGCTTGTCCTCCATGTGATTCATTATCAACTTAAGACCGCCTTATTTCTGCACGTACAACCATCAAACTGTAACAATTTTTCTATGTATGACAACAAAAAGAACAATGACAAAGTAATAATGTAACAGGCACCAGCTACTCGCTTTCAAATTGATGTTAGTTACATAATGAAATAGTAGAACTAATTTTCTAATCGCTTTCAAATTGATGTTAGTCCTCAGCTTTTGAGTTTTTCAAAAATATGTTTGTTTGAATTGCAACAACAACTAGTACGCCTCAATCCCAAGTACATCGGTGTTGGATTTGTTTGAACTTTTTTTTGAGAAAGAAGCTACCTTTCGACGAAGATTCTCTTTTTATGGCAACTAACTTCCGTATTAATCACCTTTGAAAACTGTACAAAGCCATAGCTAAGCAAAAAAACACAGCTAGCTATCTAAATACTAACTATCAATAACTCTGACTTATACAAGCCAGTATGTAAACTGGACTCTAGAATATGAAACTTTGTATCAAGGCCTTAACTCTTGTTGCCTCTCTTACATGACAGATATAAGCAATTTCTCGCGTAATTGCTTTTCAAAAATTCTTTGGTTCCTCTCCATCCATATAGCATAAACACATTCGATTCTCAAACTCAGTTTTTCAAATCTTTCAACACCTCAAGAACTTAGTTTGGACATTTTCCAATAAAATTTCTCCTAACTTTTTCTGCAAAAACAACTCAAACAAACAGAGTTGCAGCAAAAACTGGGGAAAAAAATTGCAAACTTCATTTTTGGAACTTTTCAAACAAATAGAGGTGCTTAAATTTTCATAAATAAGATTAAAAGAACCCACCCACCCACCCACACACACACCCCTCAAAAGCATGATTGTTGGTAAAGATTGAAACCTGAAAAATTCATGAAATTCAGCTACTTAAGCCCGGGAAAAAATGAAAATTTTGGCATCTACGGAGCAGTGATAGGCATATCAATCCAGCAGGAAATCTTCTTACACAAACTGAACCCAAAGATATCAAAACAAGGAAAAGACTGATAACAGCACATAAAAAACAACACATGCAAGGACCAAAATTAAAAAAATAAAAAATCAAAAATTGAGAACTGGTTAAAAATATAGAGTACCTCTAACAATTGGATGATGATTTTTTTTTTTCTTGAAAATGCTTCTTCCTGCTGAATAATTGAACAAAAGTGTCTATTAGAGGGAAACAAAAACAAGAAGAAAGAACATCAAAACGTGAGAAATGAGCTAAGAGAGAGAGAGAAGCAGAGAAAGACAAGAGAGATGAGCTAAGAATATACCAGAGTAAAACACCCCTCTTACATAAAGTTTTTAGATTCTTCAATAGAACAAGTTAAAGAGGTTTGTATCAATGGAAAAATCCAATTTGTTTTGTTAAAATCTTGCATTTAAGTAAAGAAGAATCAATGCGGTTTTTGACATGCATTTACTTCAGTTATATACATTTGACTTTGCCTTCTGACCACATGTTATATCTATCATGTGATAGCATTTATTTAGAGGTCGTTTGGTTCATGAAATAAAGGAAAATATTCCGGGTTAGAATGGGAAGAAATTCAAAAATAGCCAGATTTATAAGTGGTAATTGAAAAATACTCGCACTTTCAAAAGTAATCGAATTTTAGCCACTTTTCATGTAAAGATAAATCTGAACGAAAATACTATTCAAAATCCGGAAAATATTCCAGCATAATATATTGGAGTTGCAGTATAATATACTCGACTTCCAGCATAATATACTGGAGTTTTGGTATAATATATTGGTCCAGCATAATATATTGGAAATTCATACACAGGTGCTCCAATCTCCAGTATATTATGCTGGAATTTTCCGTGTTGCAGCAAAATAGTGGCTATTTTTTAATGACTTTGCAAACACTGGTTAGTTTTCAATTACTAGTCCGAAAACTGACTAGCCCGTGCTATTTTCACGTTAGAATGTGGGATTATTTAAGGGATATTATCACTTTTAGCCCGCGCCAGAAACTATTTATAAAAAGTGTATAAAATTTGTATAATTTTGTATATAAGATGTAGAATGTAAATATATACAAAAAATATACATATTATATATATATTTTTTGTTATTATTTTTACAGCAGCTATGTAATGTCATTTTTTCATTATTTTATTTAATCTCGTGTTTGCTCGAATTTCAGTTTTTGGTATAAACAATTTCAAGATGAATTATATCAAATTTTTTTGAAATTATTTTTATACCACATTCAATGTGAGTAAATAATCTTGGAATTAGCTATCCCAGAATAAATAATCAAATGACATAAATATCCTTCTCCATAACTCTTTTTGCATAGTCCTTCTAAGAAAGTCAACATTAAAATTTATAATACTTAATAGTTATTCTATTTTATCTATTGTGAAATTGAACCCATATTTTATATTATATTCTGTATATCTTATGTTAATCTATTGAACCAAATTTCTATTTAAAAACATATATCTATTAACTAATCATATTTTATTTAACTCACCTATTATAATTCCCATATTATAATTCTAGTATAACTTGCTTCTTAACCAAATGATCCCTTAAGGGCAAAGATTTAAATTTACTTCACATATTATATGGAATTACTCAACTCTATCCTTCATTAGCAAGTAGTCTCGTATTTATTCTTGTTATTAACCAAGTTTCAACGTAAAATGGGTAAATTAAAAGGGTCTAATTTCAACCCATAACTTCTACTTATTGTTTGAAAAAACCCTCAAGCTGGAGCTCCATTCGGGGTTAAGAGTGAAAAAAATAATATTACACAACGATGAGGTAATACTATTTAATTAAGAATAAAATTGATCAATTTCTCAAACCCTATATGTGGGATTGCACTGAATTTGTCGTTGTATTAAATTTATCAATTTCAAATAGTATAAGAGCAAATTTTATTATTTTCCTTTTTTAA